TGGTCAGTGATATGGGAGGAGAGGCAACAGGCTGCCCCGGCTGTTGTATTAGTACACGAAGCTAATAGTTCATGAGTACTTAACACTACCCCATAGCCCGTGAGTAAGTAGAACCATTAAAGGACACATCTGGTACAACACTTTATCCCTGATGGCAAGATAACCGATACATTAAGACTGTATTAACATTTTGTCCTAGTAACCAATTCAACTCCTAATTACAGAACTAAACAAACAATGTGCTGGAAATACTCTGTAACTCTCAAGGGGTCACAAAGATATCCACCAAAAAATCGGAAAGGTCATGTTTTTCAGAGCTTTTGACAATTTACAGCACAAAGACCTTCTTCTTTCACGAGGCGCAGTAAAGTTAGGAGGCAGACACGAGTGACAGATGGAGTGTAAGATATGGGTTTGTACTCCTCCTAGACGTAGAGAAGAGAGAGAGAGAGAGAGAGAGAGAGAGAGAGAGAGAGAGAGAGAGAGAGAGAGAGAGAGAGAGAGAGAGAGAGAGAGAGAGAGAAAGAGAGAAAGATGTGCAAGACGGACTCAGTATCGTGAGTGAAGACAAAGAGAAAGAGATCTATCTATCGATCTATCTATCTATCTATCTATCTATCTATCTATCTATCTATCTATCTATCTATTTATCCATTTGTTGTTTTCTCTCCTCCACAAGACTTCAAAGAGCTGTGAGATACTGATCCAAGAGAGAGAGACTTTCACAGGCCTTTTAAAACTATCTCTCATGAGGAACGAGAGACAAAAGGATAATAATAAAATGGAAAATTAGAAAATTGTGCAAATGAAACATATCAGAGATAACAAACGTCTCGAGATATCTCTTGACGTCTTGAAATATCTCCTGACGTCTTGAAATATCTCCTGACGTCTTGAGATAACTCCTGACGTCTTAAGATAACTCCTGACGTCTCGAGATATCTCTTCCTGACGTCTTGAGATAACTCCTGACGTCTCGAGATTTCTCCTGACGTCTTGAGATAACGCCTGACGTCTCGAGATAACTCCTGACGTCTCGAGATAACTCCTGACGTCTTGAGATAACTCCTGACGTCTTGAAATATCTCCTGACGTCTTGAGATAACTCCTGACGTCTTGAGATAACTCCTGATGTCTTGAAATATCTCCTGACGTCTCGAGATATCTCTTGACGTCTTGAAATATATCCTGACGTCTTAAAATATCTCCTGACGTCTTGAGATAACTCCTGACGTCTCAGATAACTCCTGACGTCTTGAAATACCTCCCTGACGTCTTGAGATAACCCCGACGTTCGGAAATATCTCCTGACGTCTTGTCATAACTCCTGACGTCTTGATATAACTCCTGACGTCTAGAAATATCTCCTGACGTCTTGAGATAACTCCTGACGTCTTGAGATAACTCCTGACGTCTTGAGATATCTCCTGACGTCTTGAGATATCTCCTGACGTCTTGAGATAACTCCTGACGTCTTGAGATAACTCCTGACGTCTTGAGATAACTCCTGACGTCTTGAGATAACTCCTGACGTCTTGAGATAACTCCTGACGTCTTGAGATAACTCCTGACGTCTTGAGATATCTCCTGACGTCTTGAGATATCTCCTGACGTCTTGAGATAACTCCTGACGTCTTGAAATATCTCCTGACGTCTTGAGATATATCCTGACGTCTTGAGATAACTCCTGACGTCTTGAGATATCTCCTGACGTCTTGAGATATATCCTGACGTCTTGAGATATCTCCTGACGTCTTGAAATAGCTCCTGACGTCTTGAGATAACTCCTGACGTCTCGAGATATCTCCTGACGTCTTGAGATAACTCCTGACGTCTTGAAATATCTCCTGACGTCTTGAGATATCTCCTGACGTCTTGAGATAACTCCTGACGTCTTGAGATATATCCTGACGTCTCGAGATAACTCCTGACGTCTTGAGATAACTCCTGACGTCTTGAAATATCTCCTGACGTCTTGAGATAACTCCTGACGTCTTGAGATAACTCCTGACGTCTTGAGATAACTCCTGACGTCTTGAGATAACTCCTGAAGTCTAAATTATTACATCCAATTCTGTTTTCGAAATCATATATCCAACGCGAAATTATCAAGTTAGGTTAAGTTAGGTTAGGTTAGGTTAGGTTAGGGTAAGGATAGGTATCAGTGTACTGTATATGTATCAGGAATGAACAACCATCAAGAGACACATGCTGGCTGTGTCCTCGTAGTGCTCTTTCACTTATTTGTGTAGTTTAAAGAGGATGCTCTGGCTGGCAACACACACACACGTACGTAACTGACACACATGCAAATGAATTTATATGTGATGGTAGACGCGCACACACACACACACATACACATATGATGGTAGACGCGCACACACACACACACATACACATATAAAAACGCACACACACACACACACACACACACACACACACACACACACACACACACACACACGCGTAACAATGGACCATTCTTGACCAGTTAATATTCAGGTGGAGGTGTTATTTCTTCAACTGAGTCCTTTAACTCGTCAGGTGACACGGAGATACCTGAGTTAACGCACCTGTAATGTTTTCCTCACTGTTTATTCCTTGGGTCCACCGATTCCTCGTGTAGCCAAATATAAGATAATACTTGGAAACAAAATTTATCTAGGTCTAATTTTTTTACACTAATGATCACACACACACACACACACACACACACACACACACACACACACACACACACACACACACACACACACACACACACACACACACACACACACACACACACACACACACACACATCAATAAGGTCATTGGTTGAATATTGACACACACACACACCTTTCTTGAGGATACATAATTAGAGATACTTGTCAAATGTCTTGAGGTGTGTGTGAGTATTGCAGTGTAGAGATGAAGGGAGGGAGGGAGGGAGGAGGGGGGAGGGTAGGGGAGGAGGGGGAGGAGGGAGGGAGGAGGGAGGGAGGGAGGGAGGAGGGGAGGAGGGGAATATGGGAAAGGACAGTGGAGTTAGTGGAGAGGAAAAAGGAAATAAGGATAGTGAAGGAGGATGGAGGGACTATGAAAGGAAGGAAGGAGAGAGAGAGAGAGAGAGAGAGAGAGAGAGAGAGAGAGAGAGAGAGAGAGAGAGAGAGAGAGTAGGAGAGAGAGAGAGAGAGAGAGAGAGAGAGAGAGAGAGGAGTTGTTGGTAAGAAACACAAATATTGGGCTACACATTTATGTGACCAATCTCCAGGGACCACATACACACACACACACACACACACACACACACACACACACACACACACACACACACACACACACACACACACACACACTATATCTTTCAATTCAGAAGAGATAAAGGAGTTCAGATAAAGATATTTTACACTACTCCTACTTATAATAATAATAACACCTGCTGGGCTGTGTAAGATGATCCTCAACATAACAGAGAATGGCTTGAAGGTAAATATTTACTTTCTTCACACACGGATGTCACACGATCTCTCTCTCTCTCTCTCTCTCTCTCTCTCTCTCTCTCTCTCTCTCTCTCTGAATGGGGATACTCATTAGTTGATAAAAAAAGCCATTATGAAGGTGTCTCACTTAACCTGGTCACAGAAACACATTTTATATAACTGAGCGTCACGTATACACCTGAGTTAATTGAAAAAGGGCCTTACAGGTATATACAAATACAGGTACAGATACAGATACAGGTACAGGTACAGGTACAGATACAGATACAGGTACAGGTACAGATACAGGTGCAGATACAAGTACAGATACAGGTACAGATACAGGTACAGGTACAGATACAGATACAGGTACAGGTACAGATACAGGTACAGGTACAGGTACAGATACAGGTACAGGTACAGATACAGGTACAGGTACAGGTACAGGTACAGACACAGGTACAGGTACAGACACAGGTACATAAATTACAGACTCATGTATGTAACTGACTCACTTAAGGTACGACACAAAGATAAACAGTGAAAATAAATGGCGTCGATTCTGCACTGAGACTCTACCCGAATATGACTCACGATCTTTTGAGAATCTCGACCCTGCCTTGTTATCATGATTCTGGGAGTATTATAAGAATCGTTCGTAAGATTAAACACAAGATGAATTAGATTACCTGAAGATTAGGCACCCGAGTTTAATTCACCTGATGATCAGTCACCTTAACCTAACCTAAACATAAACTAATCTAACCTGACCTAAAGCAAACCTAACATAAACTAACCAAACTTAACCTGACCTAACGCTAACATAACCTCACCTAACATAAACTAACCTAACCTAAACTAACCTAGCCTAACCTAACGCTAACCTAACCTAAAATAACCCAACCTAACCCCTCAGGTATTGTTAGGATATCTAATTATCATGTGAAACAAGGTGGGGTGGTTAATATTCAGGTGATCCGAAAAAAATATACCAAAACTGTCCTTAACAGGGATTAAGTGGCGCCTTAACCTAGATACGAAGGGCAGTGTCCTTAATACCTCCTTAACTGGCTATATACACGTAGTTAAGGGGGTCAGCCTCTGCAGGTATCTGAGGACTGCTGCAGGAGGAAGTCCAGCCAGCCAGGAGGAGCAGCTCGGGGCGACAGCAGACCTGCAGCAGTTACCCTCGGTAGCTCGTGGGTATATACGTGGCAGGAGGGAGGATACAGCAGAAGAACAGCAGCAACAGCAGGATAAACAAGACCAGTAGCAGCAAGAACAGCAGGAGTCCAAGCATCATCACCAGTAAACAACAGTAGCAGGAGGATAACTACAGCAGCAGTAATGAGAACGACTGCAGGAGAAACAATAGCACGAACCACAGCAGGAGTAGCAGTAGGAATAATACAGCAGCAGCACTACCACCGCCCCCAACAGGAGGAGAGGGGGAGGAGGAGGAGGAGGAGGAGGAGCCGGAGGAGGGGGTCGGGTCGGGCCGCGTGTGTGTGTGTGTGTGGTGATATAGACTTGGCTCGGCACAGCTGGTGAAGGTTCAGTGTAGCCCCACGCGCTCTGTGGGGCGGTTGTTCTGGTGAGCTTCCGCGACCCATTACTCCCTTCCCCCTCCCATCCTTCCCCTCTCGCGCGCGCCTCGACACCCAGCTCCGCGACCCGCCCACCAAAACCCATCCACGTGATAAAAACCAAGCAAAGAAAACAAAAACCTCAATCGTCCCCATCAAACCAAAACCCACGTGATTTACTCATAGAAAAACATAACAAAACCACCCCCCCCAAAAATATATATATATACAGTATATATATCTATAAGTTAACTAGAAATGTAACCCAATATAAACATAAGAAACTATTAATATTGTCAAGACTTACGTAATGTTGTTTTTATTTAATTTTGACGGTTTATGTTAAAAATAGAGAGAGAGACACAGAGGAGAAGAAAGAGACGGTATTATTTTCAAGACGTCGACGGCGAAAACAACTCGGTGGAAAACTGGACAGAGAACATACAAGGCAGAAGGTCTGGAATATCAACGAAGCGTTTGAGATTCTCTCTCTGTTCTCCCGCGGCGACAAAGACATCTGCTGTTGTGTAGAAGGGGGAGGACGAGGACGAGGAGGAGGAGGAAATCTTTGCAGTGGGTCCAGGAGGAAAATTGAGACATGGGATATGGCTTGTGGTCCTTCTCCCCTTCTTCCCCCTCTTCCTTCTCTTTCTTCTTCTTCTTCTTCTCCCTCTTCCTCCTCCTCCTCCTTCTTCTTCTTCTTCTCTAACATTTATTCAAGCCTATTTTGTGTTACTTCCTTCATGTTCTTCTCGGCTTCCTCGTGTCTCTCCTATCTCCTTCTTTATCGTGTTTTGCTTCACATACCCTTCTTTCTTGTCCTCCTTTATTACTTCCTGATCTTCCTCTCCCTCCTGTCCCCCTCCAACACTCGTCTGTCCTCCTCCTTCATACCCTCGTCTTTCCCCAACACTTGTCCTCCTCCTCCACCTCCAACATTCTTCCTCCTCCAAAACTCGTCCTTCTCCTCCAACACTTGTACCGCTCCAACACTCGTTCTCCTCCTCACCCTCCCTCCCTCCCTGGTGGTAGTAGGAGGCCGCCACACCGCAGTTACCAGAGCTATTATCTCCTCTTAGCGGAGACTCTGAGAGCCCGGGGAGTCACCACCTTTATTTGTGTGTTTTACCGACGTCTCCCACACCCACAAATTCTTCTTTACTATCATGACGAGTGTCGCAGCGCTCTCTCCTCCACTCCATGGTCTGGTCCTGTGACTCATATCTGCCAGGGTGTGACAGCAGTTTTGGAAGCGTGTGAAAGGAGTTTTTTTTTTTTTGATGGGTAGCAAGGTGTGACAGGAATTTTTTGGGTGGAAGGTGACAAAGTGTGACAGAAGTTTTGGGAAGTGTGTGAAAGGAGTTTTGGATGAGTGGCAAGGTGTGAGATAGGATTTTTTTTTTTAAGGGTGGTAAAGTGTGAAAGGAGTTTTGGGAGGTGTGGCTCATGTTAGGGAGGGCAGAAAGGTGTGACAGGCGTTTTGGGATGTTGGCAGGGTGTGACATAATGTTGTAGGGAGGGTCGGAAGGGTATGACATAATGGTGTGTCATTCTAATCTGGAAGGTGTGACACGAGTCTTGCGAAAGTGGGAAAAGGGATGTGACGTCAGTTTTGAGAGAAAGAGAGGTCAAGGTGTGACATGATACCAGAGTGTGACATACCGTTAGAGGAAGGAAGAAGTTTGATCAAATTCTTAGAGGATGTGACACTTGTATGGCAGGGGGGATGTGACGAAATTTTGGGCGGAAGAACAGGGTGTGACATGCTACTGGCAAGACAGGAGGGAGAGAAAGGATGTGACTCATCTCTCGAAGGGTGTTAGCGGATGTGACACAAATATTAGGAATGGACGGAGTGTGGCACGGTAGTGGAGGATGAAACAAGGTGTGACACATGTATGGTGTTAGGTGGGAGACGGTGTGACATGATGTTAGAAGAACAGAGGAAGTGAGGTGTGACACGAATTTTGGGAAAGGGGGGGGGGTGAAAATGTGACACCAACAGTCTGGGAGATGTGACACTGACGTGACAGTGTGTAATACAAATCTTGGGAGGAGGCGATGATGTGACACGGTAAGGTGAAGGATGTGACACTATTTTTGAGGGGTTAGGGTAGTGTAATACGAGACAGGGATGTGGCACAAGGCTGGAAGGTTGGTTATGTGCACGACAAAAAAACTGGAAGCTGTGGCACGAGTTATGAGCTGTGTGTGTGTGTGTGTGTGTGTGTGTGTGTGTGTGTGTGTGTGTGTGTGTGTGTGTGTGTGTGTGTGTGTAAGAGAGAGAGAGAAAGTGTGACAATAGTCTGAGAAGAGGATGTGGTCTTATACCAGGAAGGAGGGGTGTGGCACGTTTCGTGAAGAGGAATGTGACAAGACTTTATTTATTTGAGGAGACAGGAGAGGAGGATGGGGACAGAAGGAGGGAGGCTGAGGAGAGAGAGAGAGAGAAATGAGGAAAAGGAAATGAGAGGGAATGGAAGAACAGGAAGAGATGGGGAGGAGGCGAAAGAGAGATGAGAAGAGAAAGGAGGGCATAGAGGAGGAGAGAGAGAGACATAGGTGGGGAGGGTGAGAGAGGAGGGGGAGTGGAGGCACTAGCAGCTATTAATTTACATTGTGTCATGTACAGGAGTGTTGGACTCTGAGGGTGGTGGAATCTCCTCCTCCTCCTCTCAGGTTCAATTCCTCCCCCCTTTCTCTCTTCCTCCCTCCAAACTGGACAATATCATTATATCATTTCCTCTCTTCTACCGTATTACCTTTCTGGCCACCTCGTCTCTTTTCAGGCAAATAACCTCTCTTTCCTAATGATCACCTCATATCACACACACACACACACACACACACATTGGCGTTTAGAGTTACTTACGGGATACGAAGAAGTCTATACTGATATACTGATAAACATATTTACAAAAAAAATAAAAAATATATTCTATCTATATTGTCTTACTCAGCTCAGGAATATGTGAGGCTGACGATAATTTTGATAATCGCTTCCATAAAATTTAAAAATAATTGTGAAATTATATACTCTAAAAATATTGATAATAAGGGATATATTTTTTCCTTTCCGAGTTACATAATGTTTTAAAATTATTCAACCAACTTAATGATAATTTACCCACGACATAAGAAAATTATCGTAAATATAAGATTTTTTTTTTGTGTGTGTTTGTGAATTAAGACAAGCGTTAAGGTCATTTTCACTGCCGTCATATTGTAATAATCTAAAAACGATGAAAAAAAAAATGATATGTAAATAAAGTTAATATTATTGTTACCGAAATAAGAAGAACCATCGAAAACATGCACATCATTTAGTGACGCCATAGTTGTGTGTGTGTGTGTGTGTGTGTGTGTGTGTGTGTGTGTAGCATTACCCTGTGTCTGTATATGTAAACTTACTAAAAATAAAACGCGAGTGTATACACAAACACACACACACAAGCAGCCAGTATCTCAAGCAACAGCCACCTCCGCCGTTTTAATCAAATATAGAAACTCGAGCCAAAATTGACATTCCCCAAACTTGTGTACAGTGCAGTGACTCTCCCGGCCAAACTTCCTGGCTTACATTATTCTTCCCTTAACTGTAGAACAAAAACAATAACAAAACACAAAACAATCACAAAAAAATAACAAATAAATCAAACTAGCTCACTTTAAAACCCTAATACGGTATTCAAAATGGTTCCAAAAATTACCCTTAAGACTTGGCTAGTGTAAAGAAACCGAATTAAACCTTAAACGTCAGAATTTTTATCAGAATTATAATTAAGAATTTAGATCAAGTATGAGGAGGATGTTAATTCTCTGCGGTAAACAAAAAAAAAAAGAATATCGTAAGAAAATGTGAGAATTCGTAAAGGTAAATATTTCTCACTTTCCTCTGGTGGTCTCTCAATATTTCCGGGGTTGTATCTTGCATCAGTTCCGAGGACCTTTATTTCAATAAGGTGTCGTTCTGATCTGTCGTCGCGTCGTGTTTATTTTTGCATTATCCTCTTGTGTGTCAGCGTGTAGAAGGGTCGTGCCTCCCACCCCCTTCGTCCCCTCCCCCTCCCCCCCAATCCCCATTCTTCCCTCCTACCCCTCACCCCTCACCTCTCCCGTCGTCGGTGTTGGTGTTATAAGATTCGAGATATCGTTGACTAGATCATGTTCCTGTCAACTGTTCCCTGTCAACTCGTCCCTGTCAACTCGTCCCTGTCAACTCGTCCCTGTCGTCACTTTCTTCAATACCTTTCATCGATTTGTTGTTGTTGTAAATAATAATTCTATCTTCCTTAAATAATTAAACTTAACCTTTGAAGCTGTCGTGTTTCTCTGTCTGTCTGTCTGTCATGCAAATTAGACTTTACAACAACAACAACAATAATAACAATAATAATAATAATAATAATAATAATAATAATAATAATAATAATAATAATAATAATAATAATAATAATAACAATAATAACAATAAATACCGTCTTGAAATTTCGTTATTAAAAAAAAATCGTGACCATCCAAGAATGTTATTATTTATTTTATCAAGAATTCGTCATTTCTATCGATACTTTCTTCATTATTTATTATCAATTTCTCATTGTCTTTATCACTGTGTCGGGTTTATGTTCTTAAATTTATCACTTTTTAAATATTTGATCGCCTTTTTCTTGTTCTTCTTCAATTATTATCTATCTCTCGTCTTTCTTTTTATGTTTTAAGCTATTTTATAATCTCTCTCTCTCTCTCTCTCTCTCTCTCTCTCTCTCTCTCTCTCTCTCTCTCTAGACATATTTCCAAAGTTATTCTATTTTTTATATTATTTTTATCTTCGTATCTTTATTTTACTCTTATTACTCCTATCTCTCTACAACTATCTTTCGTATCTCTCTATCTTTATTTTTCTTCCTATCTTTGTCTTCCTATATCTCTGTCTTCCTCTTTCTCTCTTCCTTGCTTTATCTTCGTCTATATATTCTACGCCTTCGGTATTTCAGCCAGTCGGATTTTC